TAATTACACTTGATATCCACTGTAATTATACTTGATACCCACTACAATTACATTTAATAGTTAATACCCACTGTAATTACATTTAATATCCCACTACAATTACATTTACCACCCAACTGTAATTATATTTAATACCCCACTGCATACATAAGTACCATTAATTTAATTTGATACCCTTCATTATTTTTTTTTATTTTTGTAATTATTCTTTTATATTATTATATTTGAATTAAAAGTGTTATACATGTCATATTTAATTTGTAAAATTAATTTAATATATTTAATAACGTAATGATATTTATTGTAGATATGACATCAAAAGGAAAGAATATAGCTACTGAATCATCGCAGAAAAAAAAAAAAGAATGTGATATTGGATGAAATTACGGCGAACGAATTGGGGATAATCGACAACATGTAATGTGTAATTTTTGCCATAAAAAAATGATGGGTGGCGGTGTGTCACGGTTAAAGCAACACTTGGCAGGCGGTTATAATAATGTGGAACAATGTGATAAGTGTCCTATTGAAATTGCGAAAGCTATGAGGGATTACTTGAATCGCAACAAGACTGAAAATGCAGAAGTGACTGGTGAACGGAGAAAATGAGACAGAATTTGATTGGTGGATCGAGGTGAATGAGTGGTATCGAAATTTATTCTTCCGATGAGAATTCAGATGATGATATGGATATAGAATATAGATATGATATTGAGCATGCAAAACAACAATCTATTCGTGATATACATATGACCGAGCAAGGATTTAGAGGAGGAAGTTATAGACCATCTATCCAAAAAAGTGGTATATCTAGGGATTTAATGCGCTCACATAGTGTGAAGGAATCTTGGGATAAATTCTCAAGAAAATCACAAAAGTGGATGGACAGAGAAAAGGATCTCACGATAGAAGAGATGGATCCTTCGATGTATCGGAATAGGGAAGTAAAGCAAGCCAAGCTAACTCATATGTGGAATCCCAAAAAGTGGGCAAAGTCGGCAAAACATGTTATTACAAAGTATTTCATTTATGAGAATATTCCACCAAGCAAAGCTCAAGGTCATTTTTACCAATTGATGATTGATGAAATTGCTTTAGCTGGAGTGGGTGTGAAAGGCCCAACCCCATATGAGATTGGCGGACCATTGCTAGATAATGAGATAGATGAACTGAAAGAGTACATTGACCAGTTCAAAAAGAAGTGGGAGATTTATGGAGTGACAATCATGTGTGATGGATGGACATCCACCACAAGATTATCTATCATTAACTTCTTGATATATTGTGATGGAAAAATTGTTTTCCACAAGTCAATTGATAGTTCTGGTCATGACAAGGATGTTAATTAGATTTTGGGTTTGATGGATGCTGTTGTTGAAGAGATTGGAGAGAAATATGTGGTTCAGATTATTACAGACAATGGCAGTGCATACAAAAAAGCTGGTGAAATGTTGATGGAAAGAAGACCACACCTATATTGGACTCCTTGTGCTGCCCACTCTCTAGATTTGATTTTGCATGATTTTTCCAAGATTGAAACGGTTCAAAATGTACTAGAGCAAGCTAAAAGAGTGACAAATTTTATTTATAATCATAATAGAGTCTTGGATATAATGCGAACATTTTGTTCGGGGGAATTGATTCGGCCAGGGCAAACAAGATTTGCCACTAATTATATTGCCTTACAAAGTATGTTGGAGCAGAGAAATGGTTTGCAAAGGATGTTTACTTCAGAAGATTGGTCTACGATTGCGGTAGCAAAGGATCCAGTTGGAAAGCGAGTTCAAGGGACAATTCTAAATCCTAAATTTTGGGAGACCGCCAAAAATGTGTTGAATATGCATACACCTATTGCAAAAGTTCTAAGAATGGTGGATGAGGAAAGAAAAGCAACAATTCCATATGTATATGAAGCAATGAAACGAGCAAGACAAGCTGTCAAAGATGCGGCTCCTAAATCGTGCAAAAAATATCTTGACATCATTGATACTCGATGGAAAAAACAAATCATTCAACATATTCATATGGCAGGTAAACTTATTGTTTATCAATTTATATTTTTATTATTGATNAAAAAAGCAACAATGCCATATGTATATAAAGCAATGAAACGAGCAAGACAAGCTGTCAAAGATGCGGCTCCTAAATCGTGCAAAAAATATCTTGACATCATTGATACTCGATGGAAAAAACAAATCATTCAACATATTCATATGGCAGGTAAACTTATTGTTTATCAATTTATATTTTTATTATTGATAAGTGTCATAATTTTGAATGTTATCATTTATAAGTGTTATCATTTTTTATATTGTGTAGCTTATTACTTGAACCCCACATACCNAAATATTCATATGGCAAGTAAACTTATTGTTTATCAATTTATATTTTTATTATTGATAAGTGTTATCATTTTGAATGTTATCATTTATAAGTGTTATCATTTTTTATATTGTGTAGCTTATTACTTGAACCCCACATACCATTATGAAGAAGATGTTGGTGTATTAGAAAATTTCTTGGGTTCGCTTCGGATCGTTGTGTCTAGACTAGAAACAAATCCAAACAAGGCTGCTGAAGCACTTGCAGAGGTAATACTTTAGTATTTCAATCTCAATTTACAAATATGCTGAATTAATATATAACATCAATATACCCATGATATTTAGGTAAAAATATTTCGGGAGGCTATGTATTGTTTTGCTGACCAAGCTGCAATTAGAGGAAGAACAAAAAGTGATCCAGGTAATTAAGTAGATTATTTACACTTTTATATTTTATTCTCATGATTTTCTATTTATATTTTTCTTTAAGGTTTTAATATGTTTCTTATTATTATGCAGCTGAATGGTGGTTTATGTATGGCACTGATGCTCCAAATTTGAGAAAGATTGCTATGAAAATATTATCGCAAACAGCTTCATCTAGTGGTTGTGAGAGAAACTGGAGTACATTTGCTCTCATTCACACTAAAGTGCGGAATAGACTCAATTATCAAAAATTAGAAAGGCTGGTGTTTGCACAATATAACATGAGGTTGAAGTTAAAGCACCTTATGAAAGACAAAAAAGGGTATGAATTCAGACCTATAGACTTAACCACTGTTTTTGACGAAGATGAAGGTATTTCAGAGTGGTTAGATGATCCTGGTGACGCACTTTTAGATGAACTTGATGATGATGGGCAATCAACAAGACTAAACACTTTCCTATCGACGTGTGCAAATCGTTTTTCCGATGACGATAGAGGAATAGGCCTAAGTCAAGGTGTTGTGCCACCACAAAAATCAAGATTCAAAATAAGTAGAGGAGGATCAAGTAAAGCAATGGATGATGAAGAATTTGACAGACTAATGAGAGGTCCACCAAGACGTAAGCAACCTATCACTGTCACTAGTAGTACTGATGATGATCATAACAGTGATGGTAACAATGATGATGGCGGTGAAGATGATGATGAAGATAGTGGTGGTGGTGGTAGTGGAGATGGTGACAGTGGAGGTGGTGATAGCCATGGTGGTGATGGAGGTATGGGGAGCCAAAGTCCACATGGAATTGTATTCACTGTAGAGGAAGGATTTACACATGCTACACAAGATGAAGATCATGGCTCTCGACGAATGCTTCAATATGAACGACGCTCAAAATCAACTCGAGATTGTCAACGTGAGCGNTTCACATGGAATTGTATTCACGGTAGAGGAAGGATTTACACATGCTACACAAGATGAAGATCATGGCTCTCGACGAATGCTTCAATATGAACGACGCTCAAAATCAACTCGAGATTGTCAACGTGAGCGTACTCAAAATCCGATCACTCCACATGGTATGGGTGCTATTAGACATGGAACTGATATGATTAATGATGATTTTCTACCATGAGTATAAGTGGAAGTGGAAGTGAACGCCATAATTATGGTTCGTCGTCTTCATATGGTTATGGTTCTGGATATGGTATTCCCTCATATGATTATGGATCGGGGTATGACACACGAGGATACGAATATGGATCCTCAACATATGGTTATGGATCTGGCTATGACTCCCAGACATCCTCCTCATATAGACAAGATAAAGATTGGTCAGGGACTGGTGCATTCGTTC